TTCAGAAATTGTATTAGTATTTTCGTACTTTGATTTATATCATTCAGACTTTCAGTATATCAGCATGTATTAGTATATCTTCCGCATTCAGTATGTTATGATATCACATGTTGATTCAGCTAGCCATTTGGTTGCAAGATGGAAGAAACAGGTGTCGCGCAAGGTATGCCTAGAACTGGCAGAGTTTACACACCTAAGAATCTGGGAGGAACGAGCAAAGAAGCTGCACCTAAGCTGCCTGTTGTTGAGACACGCATTGACGATCTTTGGAGGAAGATACAAGCAAGGGAATACTCTGTTGTTGACCATATGAACAAGTCTCCCGCTCAGATATCAATCTTATCACTATTGCAAAACTCAGACGCACACAAGAATGCCTTGATGAAAATGTTAAGTGAAGCTTATGTACCCACCAGCATCACTAGTGGAGAGATGGCTAACATGGTCGGGCAGGTACTGTAGAGTCATAAAATTACTTTCCACAAAGATGAGTTACCGCAAGAAAGGTTGAGTCACAACAAGCGTTGCAATAATCGATTTTCAGTTCTGGGTTCGAGTCCAACCAATACATTTTCTCTTTTTTTATAACGTTAGAAATGTTGAAAAATATTAACAGAGTAGGCACGTTTCGAAACTGTGACCTCTATTATACTTGAAACAGTAAAACCGTAGAGCCACATAGCAATAGTTAGATTTTAGAAGTAATTTGAATACTATATTTATATGATCTAAACTATTTTTCTTTTGTAACAATGTTTTAAATTTATTTGTTCATTACAACATAGAGGTCAAAAATTAGGGTAGAAAGTTAATAGGTAATCCAATAATTTTTCTATTTTCTGTGAAAGAGCATAGTTCTAGTTTGGAGCACCTTCTTTGTTCCCTCTTCTCCTTATTATTATTATTATTATTATTATTATTATTATTATTATTATTATTATTATTATTATTATTATTATTATTATTATTATTATTATTATTATTATTATTCTGTTACTATTTTATTCTTTAATTTTCTTACCACTGTTGTTTCTTTTACTTTGGTTATCTATACTATTTTTGCTATGAACTTCAATATTTTTGTCTTGGTCTTTTTACTCTTGTATTTTTCAAAACAGTTCTAAGAACATTTTTCTTGAGCTGGAAGTCTATCGAAAATGACCTCTCAATCTAAGAGTATACACGCACCTTCCCCAAACCCCCGCTCGTAGGATCACACCGAATATGTTAATATTATTGTTATTGTTGTACTCTTATAGATGTGACACCGTGTCGCTTATAAAAAATCATGTGTAGGCTACTTATCAGCCGGTTACACCTAAGCCAAGCCAATACTTTCATTGTCCATTACTATTATGCATGTTTCTTCCGAAGCCCGCAAAGGTCAATCATGGGGCAACATGCCGACGCCCTTACAATATCTGAAGGACTTACCTAGAGAACATATGGCGACTTACTCCAAAATACAATTTGCAGTTTTAATATACACTAGCGAAAAAGATTTTCCAAAGTTATATAAATATACAATAAAATGTTTAGTGTATGATTATTATGATTATAGAACAAGTCATTTTTATCCGTATTTATAAATGACTAGATACACCAAAAACCCGACATTTGTGTTTAATAAAGGTCGTCTTAAGGCAAAACAGAGCTAGGTGTTGGCAAGGGTTGTATATGAATCCCCTTCATCATAAATATGATAAAAATATTATTTTTTTAATTATATAAACTGTTGAATTATCATGGCAAGCGAAAATTATAGTGTAGTAGTGTCAATAAAGGGGTTCAAAATTGGCTTTAGTATTTAGATTTTAGGCCATATATATTTTTGCATCCCCTTGAAAGTACTCCGGCTCCGATGCTCCACCACTAATTCAAGGTTGACTATGTGAAGCAAATGTAGGTTTATTTTATTAGTATATTGAAGGTCATTTACATATGCAGGTTAATCTTGTTCCGTTTCGTATGGTATAGATGAGTTTTAATGAGATTGTTTTCCTTCTGATCTAATCAAGTAGATATAGAATTTTTACAATATATATTAATATAATAATGAGAGTAATTTGTTCATTCAGGACCGCATAGCGCAGTGGATTAGCGCGTTTAACTTCGGATCAAAAGGTCGTGGGTTCGACTCCCACTGTGGTCGGACAATGTGAAAAGTGTCTAATTTAATTTTTGTCCCTTACCACTAATTGAAAAACTAAAAACAAGTTTTGTAAAATAAGAAAAAACACAACAGTAATAATGCCAAGAGCACGTGTTGTCATACCTCTACCATAACAGTTAACACCCCACTTTGGACCCCAGCCAAAGGCAGGTGAGATGCAGCCGGAAGAAAAGTTCACACTTGGCGCACTTTAGCAACTTTGGTAGTTCCACCCCCCAGCTGATTTTTGTGTCCTCAGATCAGATGGGGATAAACTTTTGCTTTTTTCATATTTACTGCCCCACAATATGAACCCTAGAAATCTTGAAAATTACTCAATAAGTACTTTTCAATTATGATACAACCTTTGAATCCTTTTACAGCCTCAGATTTCTCCAAGATTCTTAAATTTTTGTCTGATTTTCTTGTATTTTGTTGGTGCTAGTTGTTTGATTTTGCTTAAAGTTTCAAACTTTAAGGCAATTCAAGCACAAAATTCCCTTTTTTGAGGTAAGTGAATTAAAGGGTATGTTTTATTGGAACTTAATAAGCTGAAAATCAGATGTTCTTGTATTTTAAGATTGATTTTGGTTGTTATTAAGGAGTTTGATTTTGCTCAAAGTTCCCAACTTTAAGGCTCATCAGGTACAATCTCCCTTTTTTGAGGTAAATGAGTTAAAGGGCATTTCTTAATTGAAAATTAATCCGCTGAAAATGAGTTGTTCTTGTTTTTTCAATGGATATTGGGGTTTTTAAGGGTTTTGATTAAGTTTCCAGCTTGAAGGCAATTAAAGCACAAACTTCCCTTTTTGAGGTGAAGGGATTAAAGGGGTTTCCTTTTTATTGTATCTAATCCGTTGAAAATAGAAGTTCGTGTATTGATTTTTGGGTTGCTCTAGGCATATTTTCATGATTTTGATTAATGTGTTTTGCTTGTATTTGAGGTTATATTTTCAAATGAGGTATTTGTGATGTGATGTGGGAGGAAGTTATCATCTAGTTGTTAGGAATGAAATGTTAATTTGGAGTTAAAATGGGTTGGTTTTGATAAAGGAAACATTGTGCTTAAAATTTGGAATTTTATGTTGGACTCTCTCTAATAAGAGGGTAGATATTAGTGTGCGATATTAGTAGTCGCTTGGTTTCTTGAGCTTGAATGGATGACAATGAGGATAATGGGAGATATCCTCCCAGCCCTTATGGTATGAATCAGGGTTATGGGTCATCCAATCGTGCGAAGCTTCCTGTTCGCGACACGTCTTATTCAAGGCATGTCGATGATCAGTATGTTGAGGAGGCGGATAATGATGAAGAGGTTGATGACGAAGAAGAAGAAGATGATGATGATGATGACGGAAATGGTGTTCAGCGGATAGGGAAAGATGTGTTTGAGGATGACGATGATGATGATTATGGTGATTCGCAGAGGCATCAAAAGAAGAGGAAGTTAAAGAGCTTGTTATCAAGTTACGAGTTTGCACCTCGATTACCACCACCATCTACTGCAGCTGCAACCGCTCCCAAGCCTTCATTTGGTGGGAGGAATCCTCTTTCAGATTGGTCTGAACATGAGACGTTTATTTTGCTGGAAGCATGGGGGGATAGGTTTGTTCGACATGGGAGGAAGAGCCTTCGATCAGATGAATGGCAAGAAGTTGCAGAGAAAGTGTCACAGGGGTCAAAACTTGAGAGGACAGACACCCAATGTCGTAACCGTTTGGACACTCTGAAAAAGAAATACAAAAAGGAGAAGATGAAGTTCGCGGAGAATGGAAGTAACACCAGTAAGTGGGTGTACTTCAAAAAGATGGACATGTTACTAACGTCAACTCCACAACAAGCGGGCATTTCATGTGGAGTGGACTCCGGTGAGTATGTTTTCATGAGCCCCAAAGTTTACTTGAATCGTGCCAATGGGTTGGATGAGATGAGGGACAGTCCTGCTAACTCGGGATCTGCTGATGGTGACGATGATGATTCTGAGGATCTTCCACCAAAAAGATCAAGAAATGGACAATCAGGAGGGAATGGAGCTTCTTTCAAACTAATAGCAGATTCTATTCATAAATTTAGTGAGATATATGTGAAGATTGAGAATAGCAAGAGACAGCAAATGCTGGAACTGGAGAAAATGAGGATGGACTTTCACAGAGACTTGGAAATGCAAAAGAGGCAAATTGTGGAGCGAGCACACGCAGAAATTGCAAGAATACGCCAAGGAAGTGATGAAGAGAATGACATTTCTGCTGAAAATGTTAGCGGATGATTTTGCCGGATTATCTCTATTCATCGCTTGTTGGCTATTTTCCATTGTTGTATTATATCTTGCAGGTTATTCTCTTACCATCCTGCAGAATATGCAAGACAATAAGCTTAATGTAGTGTAAGAATGTATTTGGATGTAGTTTCAGCAGCGATAATAACATTATATAGATCACAACTTCCGTATTTAATCTTCTTTTATTCCTATGGAAATTGTCTGTAAACCTAAACAACTCTTACCGCATATGTAGCTGCTTTGTGATTTAGCATGAATGATGCAACAGCTTGACCGAGAATAGTCTACTGTTGTAGCCCAGTTCACTTCTTAGCCTCATTCCTTACTGTTCCTACTACTACAAGTAACTTTAGTTTTTAAGCAAAATAAAGTAATGTCTGCCAATTACTTTCTTCCTCACACTATTGTTAATGAAATTCAAGAATTATTCAAGCCCCTTCCTAATTCCCCGGAACTTGGATCCTCTTCCATACTCCAATTTTAGTGTGTTGCTATTTTCATCCAAAGGCATTTGAATGCTATAACAGTAGCTGTAATTGGAGAGAAATCTCAACGTAACCATACACCTCATACTAAAAAAACATCCAGACATTGTTGTAATATCCAAAGTAAGAGGTTTTATATACAATTGTTCCAATCAAACGCCCACTCAGCATTCAACATATGTAACCTGAATTGCATGTATTTTCAGTATCAAAATATTGCCTTCAGTGTTCTCTCGCATTTCTATCAAGACTGACTTTACAATTGGAAACATAATTTAAGAGGTTCCCAAAATTGTTACATTTAAGCATTCCGTGGTGACACCCACACAACATATGATAACTCTCGTTGACAAAGCCTATGTCCAAGAGATTTATGGCAATCAGTCAGCTCATTATACGTTAAACCCTGCCACGCTACATTATCTGTATCAACAGTTGAACCTCAAGACGGATAAGCTCAGCTTCTTCCTCCTTCAGCAATAGTTCTAAAAACTAGGAATAACTTTGGCTTTTAACTGGTTGCTGTCCCCTAGATATATATGAATTTCAGGATTGCAATGCCCAAGTGCTGCATGGCTTCAAGGGACTGATATGCACAGCATAATGCACAGCTTTTGCAGTAAGCAAATTGATGAGAGAATTTTAGACCAGATGAGCCAACAACTAGGGCAGCCAACGACAGTGGGATATCCTGCAAAGAGTACATACTATTATTTTCCTGATCTGACAACAAAACCAATGGCATTTCCTTTTCAGTTTTTTGCCAATTTCACACAAAGGCATTATCTCGCCAGCATAGATTAGAGAGAACCACGAAAAAAAGTCTAGGGTCAGTATCAGAAGTATGAACTAGGAAACTACAAGAACATGCACACTAGTTTGACGAAATTAGGTGGACGGACCTTCCTTCAGGTTGAAAATGACAGACACCTCCACGACTAAACAGTAGAAGTGGAACAGAATAACATTGTCATTTTGAAATCTTTACTACTTTAGCTGTCATTCCATTCTTTGCTCAATGTCAAACAGAACGTGAGCAATTCTTGAGTTTTTCCATTCCTGTCGATAAGCATCTAGCAATTCTTGAGTTTGCAATCTTTCTCTGGGAGACCATTGTCCTTCTCCCAAAGAAGCTCAGTTTTTCTTTTAATCATGAGGGGATAAAGGGAATTTAGTTTTATCATGGACTCTGCTATTGTTGGAATTTGATTCCTTTTTCTGTGTACTTTTTATTTCTCTCTTTGAGTCATTTACTAGCTGAGGAAAAAAAGAAGAGAAAAACGGAAGTCCATCAAGTCAAAAATATCTCACAGGTGGTTGGCAGTATCTCAACAAATCTTGTTGAGATCACGCACCCTAAACCAAGTAATACTGGAGTTTAACTAGTAATAACTCATTAAATTAAAGCAAAGGTATCTCTCAGTTTCTCAAATGTGACAGGTGTTTGTTATTTTTTTAACCTAGAGAAGGTATTTGTAAGATAGTTTGTTATTGGCAAGTTGGAAGTGGGATTCTTCCCACAACGGAAGAAAGAAGTTCTGTGCCTGTCATGTGAAACACTCCCGGGACCGACCTTACTCGTACCGTGCCTGTTAGCCTCGGAACTGATCATTATGAAATAGCACATAACAGGCACGAGATTGTCTCAACAGGCACGAGACTGACTCAACAGGCACGAAATTAACTCAACAGGCACGAGATCCTAGAGTTAATTATTTATTTGAATTTTAAATTCAAAATTCGAATAAATAGTCGTGTCGGTTTGTGAAACAAGACATCTTTTCTGAAAGGGTCTATTGGTTGCCTATAAATACACAAGAATTCCAACGAAGTGGATATAGAAAATCACAAGTGTTACTGCAGGCTTTGTTGTATCCTGAAGAGAATCGTTTTGTATTTTCCCTAAATTAGTATACAG